GTGTGTGTGTGTGTGTGTGTGTGTGTGTGTGTGTACATATGTGTATTTGTACTTGTGGAAGGACAATTTGAATGTCCTTTTTTAAAAAAATATTTATTTATTTTGTATACAATATTCTGTCTGCGTGCATGCCTGAAGAGGTCACCAGACCTCATTACAGATGGTTGTGAGCCACCATGTGGTTGCTGGGAATTGAACTCAGGACCTTTGGAAGAGCAGGCAATGCTCTTAACTGCTGAGCCACTTCTCCAGCCCTGAATGTCCTTTCTTAAGAATGCTGTCCACCTTATGTAGAGACAGAGTCTCTCACTGGCCTAAAACTTGTCAATGCCTAGGCTGGTTCCTCCTGTCTTGTCTCCTTAGCACCAGATTTATAAGTGTGCCACCACATCTATCTATCTATCTATCTATCTATCTATCTATCTATCTATCTATCTATCTATCTATCTATCTATCTATCTATCTTTCTCTATGTTGCCCTGGCTATCCTGGAACTTGTTCTGTAAACCAGGCTGGCCTCGAACTCAGAGATCTGACTGCCTCTGCCTCCCAAGTGCTGGGATCAAAGGTGTGCACCATTACTGCCTGGCTAATACCCAGCTTTTTAAATATTAGTTCTGGGGACTGAACTTGTCACATATTACTAGCTATCTCTGAAGCCCCTCCTGAGATGTGTGTGAGTCAGAAGACAACTTGTTTGAACCTTTTTTTTTTTTTTTTTTTCCCCTAAACTGTGTTGGCCCTAAGGATTGAACTCAGGTTGTCAGGTTTGGAGGCAAATGTCATCTCATCACCCCACCACTTGGTTTTGAAGTGAGTGTAGATATCGTCCTCCATGAGAACTCCCTGTCCAGGCATCTCTGTGAAGCAGATAGTCTGTTGGACATCACACAGGCAGGAGTTGGGGTTGGAGATTTCCAGTCAACTTTCTGATCAGTTCTACTCTCCTGCAGCTGTTCTTGGTCTTTGGATCTCTCCTCTTTCCTTCCTTCACTCCAGGACATTGAAGGACTATTAAAATGACTTCTTATTAACAGTGAATTATGAATATCCCTGTAAGGAGTTCAGAGCTAAGCCGTCCTGTGACTGGCTTGATACACATGGCCTCCCATCTGTACTGTGGGCTACTGAGAATCTCCTTGTGCCCTAATCACATTAGTTACTCTGTTTAGAGGCAGTTCCTCTGTGGACTGACAAATGGACTTTATTTTAATTTTTTTTAAAAGACTTATTTTTACTTTTGTTTCTGTATGTCTTTGTGCCACATGTGTGTGGAACCTGTGAGGTCAGAAGAAGGCATTGAATTTCCTGGAACTGGAGTTCCAGGCTGTTGTGAACAACCTGGGGTGGGAGCTGCAAGAGTGGCAAGTGCCTCTAACTGCCTTTTATATTGTATTATATTATATTATATTATATTATATCTTTCCTATCTGTGAGTTTGCATTCATGGTGCCAGTGCTATTTTGGCTTTCAATTTTAGAGATCAAGAAAGGAGATTTTCTCGGGACCAAGCCTTGGAGGACTTGGTGTTTTTGAGCCTGGTTATATCTTCAGCCAGTTCAGTGTCCTCCGTCAGTCAGTTTCCTCGTTTCAGTTCTGTGTGAAGTGAAGCAGACTGCAGTGGGCAGACAGCCGTAGGTTTCAAATTGTGTGACCAAGTCAGCAGGCAGTTTCTCATGTGGTATTTATTCTCTAATCAAGTCCCGTGGGTGTGACTATTGCCAGGTACAGGTGAACTGTGGCCTATGAGTCAAGTCTAGTCTACAGTTTGTTCTTGAATGCCTCACAAACTCAGAATGATTTTATATTCTTAAAAGGCTGGAGAGAGAGAGAGAGAGAGAGAGAGAGAGAGAGAGAGAGAGAGAGAGAGAGAGAGAGAGAGATTGAGAAGGCAGGCCACAAACTGGGAGAAAATATTTCACTAGAGACAGAGTTCTTGAACCCAATAGTAAAATGAAAAGTCTAATTGGAAAAAAAAGTAAGGCTAGGGTTATGAATGGCTCATTGGTAGAATGTGGACTTAGCATACCTTAGCCCTGGGGAGCACCATCACCCCCAAAGTCAAAAGGACCTAAACAGACATTGAGTGGCCAAACTCCCAACTGACAGCGCCAAGTGTGGCAGATGCGGAGCAACAGAAGTTCTTTGTTGCTGGTGCAAATCCTAAGTGGGTAGAGCAACTTTTGAAGAAGTTTGGCAGCTTCTTAAAGCGTCAGACATATTCTTAGTGCCTGATCCACCAATCACACTGTGGGGTAGGTGCATGCCTGACCTGTTAATCACACTTTAGCACAGTGAGATGCATGCATGGAAACTTGTAGTACTTCTTGCTCAGTTTTGCTGTGAACCTAGAACTTCTAACATATAAAGTGTTTTTTGTTGTTGTTTGTTTTTAGTTGGTGTGGGAGTAGAAATCAGTGATGAAGCCCATGCTTAGCACCTTTGAGGACCTGGGTTTGATTCCCACTTCCACCAAGAATAATGTATAAAGGAGACTGTAAGGTGGTGTTTGACAGAGTGTTTATGTAGGGATGAAGTGCTCAGGGTCTCTGTCCCTGTCCAATCCTCTCGACCTGGGCACGCAGAGCCTCTAATTATAAAGCTGTTGTTTTGAATTTGATTTTGTTTACAGGTATATGAATGACCTAAAGCTACAAATAAAGACGGAGAGAAAACGGTGCCAACTGGGAGCAGGGCAAGGATGCCAATTCCTCCTCCTCCCCCGCCCCCACCTGGTCCTCCCCCACCTCCCACTTTTAATCAGGTACGTAATCTCTCCACTAGGTTGTCTTCAAACCTTTAAGTAAATTGGTAGGCTTCTCATACTGTTTTGTTCTTTTTCTTTTCAGTCCTTTTTGTTTAAAACTTGTAAATTTTCTTACCTAACCACTCTTTCACTCTGATCTTGCTCTGTAGCTCTGTTGTTTTTTTTAATTTCTTTTATATTTACTTTACATGTATTGCCTGCATGTATGTATGTGCACCGCATGCATGCCTCAGGCCACAGGAGGCAGGAGAGGGCTCCAGGATCCTCTGGAACTAGAGTTCCAAGCAGCTGTATGGCCAGAAATGGGTGCTGGGGACTGAACCTGCATCCTCTGAAGGAGCAGTAAATGCTCTTGAGGATGGAACCACCTCTCCAGCACCTACCCCCTTGTGGTTTGTTTGGTTTTGTTTGTAACAGGATCTTGCTATGTAGTCCAGGCTGACCTTGCTGGCCTTAAACTTTAGGTCTTCTTGTCTCATTCCTCCAACTGCTGGGATTACAGATAAGAGATAACCATGTCCACTAATCATTTTTAATACCATCTATAACTTTTGTATATATTTGACCTTTAAAAACTTTCCCTAGCATTTTGAGACAGGATCTTGCTGTGTGGCTGGCCAGTAACTTGCTATGTAGGTCAGACTGGCCTCTACCTTGCAGTGTGATCCTTTTTTCTTTGCCTTCTGCATGCCTTCTGGAGTGTAGGCCTGAGCAACTGCTCAGCTGCATCCTGGATTCTTGAGGCTCCTTAGGAGACACACTTAATAGCAGGCAGTGTAAGGAGATAAGGAACACACAAGCCTGTGCCTCAACTAGTTTGGACTTCTGAGAGGTCCTCTGAGGATCACACTGACATGTTTTGTTCCCTGTCCTGCTTCATTCCAAATGGAGATTTGGACTCATGGAGTTGGAGCTAGTGTTTCTTCCTAAGCTACCTGTCTTACAAGTAGGTTAGTCTCATTTCTCTGACATCCTTGAGAGGGGTTGAGGATTTGAGTGGTAGTTTCCTGCTATCATTTCCTCTCCTCTCCTACTCCCAGGTAGGAGACTAATTAGGTTCATCTGGTGCCCAACGTGGGGCGCGATCCTAATTAGTCTTAATAATAAAAACCCGGGGTAAATGATGAAAGAAGTAAAGGGCCAGCCATAGTCACCTCTTATCTCTCCGATTCCTCAGACCAAAAAGGGCCAAGCTACTGTCTGCGCCCCCCACCTTATTACTTCCTCGGTCTGCCCAGCCATATCACTTCCTGTTGCCTGTCTGTGCAGACCTCCAGACCTCACTGGTGGCTAGCTCCACCCTCTGATCTTCAGGCAAGCTTTATTTGTCAGAACATAAATAAAATATCACAACATTTCCCCCTTTTTTTTTGTCTAAAATAAAAAGAGACAGTTATAGTTAACATAGAAAAACTATATACAATAAGTACAATAACTATATACAATATATACAGTCAAGAATTACATTAACAATGTTCAGTCCATTAGCATTTGACAAATTTAGAGAAAATACATTAAAGTTTTTATTGTTTTATATGTATGGGTGTTTTGCCTGCATGTATCTGTGTACCATGTGAGTGACTGGTGTCCTTAAAGGCCAGAAGAGGCCATCAGATCCCCTGAAACTGGAATTACCGACGATGATGAACTGCCATGTATAAGCTAAGAATTGAACCCAGGTCCTCTAGAATAGCAGCAAGTGCTCTTTTTCCAGCTCCAGGCCATTTTAATTAATTTTATTTTATGTTCATTGGTGTTTTGCCATGGGTGTCAGGTCCCTTAGAACTGGAGTTACAGATAGTTGTGAGCTGTCTTGTGGGTGCTGGGAATTGAACCCAGGTCTTTTGGAAGTGCAGTCGGTGCTCTTAACTGTCATCTCTAACCCCTCCAGTCCATTTTAAATCCAAGTCTATCGCGTCTTATTCTCTACCTAGAAAGGAAGAAAATTAGGCATACCACTTGGGAGGCAGAGACAGGCAGAACTCTTAATTTCCAGGCCAGCCTGGCTCCACAGTGAGACCTCATCCAAAACAAAACAAAAAAAATTCAAGTTTTGGGTCTCAAAAGTTAAGAGCAACACTTTACTGCTCTTGCAGAGGACCTAGGTTCAGTTTCTAGCACCCATGTGGTGACTCATAACTACTTATAACCCTAGTTCCAGGGGATCTGATACTCTTTTTTACCTCCTTGAATACCAGACACACAAGTAATGCACATACATATGTAAATATATACATACATATAGGCAAAACACTCATATACATAAAAATAAATCTTTTAAGAAAGGGTTTTATTTTTATTTTTAATTATGTGTTTATGTGTGGGTCTGTGCACATGCCTGTAAACGCCTGAGGCATTGAATCTCCCTGGAACTGGAATTATAGACAGTTGTAAGTTGCATGTGGGTGCTGGGGATCCCTCTGTAAGAGCAGTGGCCGCTATTAACCACTGAGCCATTTTTCCAGCTCCAAATATAACTTTAATCTCAGTACTTGAGAGGCAGAGGCAGATCTCTGAGTTAGAGGCCAGCTTGGTCTACAGAGTGAGTTTTAGGACACACAGGGCTACACAGACTCTCGCTGTGCAAGCCTGACCATCTGAACTCAGTCTCCGGACCCCAAAGTGGAAGGAGAGAACCAGCTCAGGAAAGTTGTCCTCTGACCTTTGCACTTTGAGCATGGACACACACAGTAATGAAAAATAATATTTTGAAGTTTAAAATATTGGTTCTGGTGTCTGTTAATCATGTGTCCTAAACTTTGTAGAACTGTTCTTTCCTCGGTTTTAGAGTAGGACTATCAAGGTCTACTGTATAACATCATGTAGAAGACAAAGTAGCAAGAAGGTAGCAAGTTATGCTGGGATAATATTCTTTAGAGTCAGCATTGGGCTGTGAATTCTTGTTTGACCAATTAGTAATTGCATGACCATCGGAAACTATTCAGCTTCTGATCCACACTTTTCAAATGTGGATATTGATAATCATATCTTTCTGTATGAGTTTTTCAGGTTTTAAATGAGGTGATCTAAGTAATACTTAGCACAATGCCTGAGGCATAGTGTCTGCCCAGAAAAAGCTGTGCTGGCAGTGGTGCCACATTAATATGTCCAAGACACAAATTCATGGCTAGTCTTGCCCCTCTCAGAAACTGTGAATTGGAGGGTGGTCTGTGTCCTTCACAGAATGATGGCACAAGGTGATATTGCTACTTGGTGCATATATCTGAATGTGTTGTGGCATCTTACGGAATCCCTTGGCTTAAGTCATTTATGCCAAGCATGTGATAAAAGGAGCTCTTAGGGTAAAGTTACATATTTCCTTCTTCCTCCAGGCAAACACAGAGCAGCCCAAACTCAGTAGAGATGAACAGCGGAACCGAGGAGCCCTCTTACAAGACATTTGCAAAGGGACCAAACTGAAGAAGGTGACCAACATTAATGATCGGAGTGCTCCTGTCATCGAGAGTGAGTTGGGGGTCCCAGGATTAGAAGACTTCTGGGCATCACACTTACTGTAGTCTCTCCAGTGGGAAAATGGTGTCCTGGATATCTGGACTTTCCTACCAGCTGTGGAGTTGAACGTTATGAAAGTTCTCCTCAGCTCTTCTCGGGGTTAAAGTCCTCTCCTGCTGATGATAGTGTTTGTTAGGGCCCATCTGTCGCTGTTCTCAGAAGACCACCACATTCCTAGAGGCTTCCTGGCTGAAACCAAGGATGGTTTTACAATTGCTGTACAAGTCCATTCTTGTAGGCCTCAGGAACGTTTGTTCGCACTTCCTTGTCTCCCCCGCCCCCAATGTGGGGAAGAGGGCCCAGAGAACTGTTGAGCTTGTCTATTTTAATTGAGTTGTTCTCCTTCCCCCTAAATAAAAATGGCTCCTCCTTCCCTTTGTCCTTTTAGTTTGCTTGTTTTTTGTAATAGTCCTTGCATGAAGGTGTGCAGCTGCAAGACCTAGGTGCCCTTGGGTTGTGTGTTTTAGTGGTAGCGCTGCTACTCTTGCTGCCGCTTCTTGATAGAGAGGCAAAAGTAAGATTGGTATGTTTGTAAATTAGAGCCTAGATAGAGGAATCGTTTCTTCTCAGGCTTGACTTGGTCAGCAGCTCAGAGCATGTGAAATGAAACCTCACCTCTGCCTTCCAGAGCCCAGAGGGAGTGGTGGTGGCTATGGCCCTGGAGCTGCTGCTTTGCAACCCAAGGGAGGTCTCTTTCAAGGAGGAGTGCCCAAGCTGCGACCTGTGGGAGCCAAGGATGCTTCAGGTATCTGAGAAGTTATCTCTTGGGCTAGCTCCCAACAGTGTTTGTTTTTTTGACTTGCTCCAAGCGTGCTATCTTAGGTTGAAGGTGGAAGGAAGAAGAGACAAGCATAGTTGCTCAGTAAAGCAAGGCCGAGAGTTAAATAAAAATGCGTTTAACTTAGGTAAAGAGAATGTGAGATGCTGCTGTAGCATGTGACTGCAGTCCCACCTGCAGGGTTGAGGCAGGAAAATCACAAGTTTTGAGTTCAGACTGAACCGCAAGAGTTGAGAGCCTGCCTTAAAGAAACAAAAAAGATTTTAAGTGCTGGGTTGTAGCTCAATGAGTTGAAGACTTGGCTAGTGTGTGTGAAGACCTGAGTTTAGTTTCTAGCACTGCATAAACCAAGCTAGGTGGTATACGTGTAATCCCAGAACTTGGGAGGTGGAGGCAGGAGAATCTCAGACATTCAAGTTCATCCTTGACTACTTTCTGAGTCTGAGGCCAATCTAGGTTACATGAGACCTAATCTCTAAATACATAAATAACTACATTCAGAATATTCACACACACACAAAGGTATACACACAGAGAATAGATTACTATTCCGCCCTGCAAAAGAAATTAATGTTATTTGTGACAACATGGACAGGCCTAGATGACATTGTGTTGAGTGAAATAAGCCAGAAACAGAACAACAAGCCAGCATGGTGGTGCACACTCAGGAGGCAGAGACAGGTGAGTCTCTGTGTATTTGAGGCCAGCCTGATCTACAGAGCAGGTTCCAGGACAGCCAGGGGTACATAAATACACCCCCCTAAAAAGGGGGGGTAAAATAAATGAATGTAATTCAATTCAAATGTGTTCATTTTGTGTCAAGAGACTCTGAATCTGAAACCTGATTAAAACTCAGAGCTAGGGCTAGCGATGTGGCTCAGTAGTAAGGCAAGTACTTGGCACGCTTGAGGCTCTGAGCTTGAGCCGGGGACACAGGAAAGCAAACAGACCCAAGAACTTTGCTGGTACTTTCTCAGCTGTTGTGCAAGGTGCACTGAGGAGGCTGGGCCAACCAGAGGCCTGACCGATGTGCATGTAACTGTTAACACAGTGTTCTGTTGTTTGTAGATACTCTAGCTGCTAAGCCAGCCCTACAAGTCCCCAGTTCTCGAGCTGCTGCTCCGAGGCCTCCAGTGTCTACAGCCAGTGGGCGTCCTCAAGATGATACTGACAGCAGCCGAGCCTCCCTCCCAGAACTGCCCCGGACGCAGAGACCCTCTTTACCCGACCTCTCTCGTCCCAATACCACTAGCGGTACAGGCATGAAACACAGCTCATCTGCTCCTCCCCCACCGCCTCCAGGGCGCCGTGCCAATGCGCCCCCCACTCCTCTGCCTGTGCACAGCAGCAAAGCTCAGGCCTACAACAGGGAGAAACCCTTGCCTCCAACACCTGGACAGAGGCTGCACCCGAGTCGAGAAGGACATCCTGCTCCACCCTCTGTAAAACCACCTCCTTCCCCTGTGAATATCAGAACTGGACCAAGTGGCCAGTCTCTGGCTCCTCCCCCACCGCCTTACCGCCAGCCTCCTGGGGTCCCCAATGGACCCTCAAGTCCCACTAATGAGTCAGCCCCTGAGCTGCCACAAAGACACAATTCTTTGCATAGGAAGACACCAGGGCCAGTCAGAGGCCTTGCACCTCCTCCACCCACCTCTGCCTCCCCCTTCTTGTTGAGTAACAGGCCACCTCCCCCAGCCCGAGACCCTCCTAGTAGGGGAGCAGGTAAGTGTTTGGAAGCCTTTTCTCTTTTCTCTTTGTTTTTTCTAAGAGCATCTCTTCAGTAATTAGAGTAAGAGTTCATGTATTCACCTGGTTTATTGGGTGCCCTTTATGTGTTGGTAATTGTTAGGGAAGAGATTAAAAAACTTGTGCACAACCTAGTAAATCTATAAATCTATAAACATGGTATGTAGTATGTTTTAGAGAAATACAAACCAGGGAAAGGATGCTGGTATTTGAACTAGAGGAGAGGAGAGTGAGACGAGGCTTACCCTGTATGGTACCAGTGTGAAGCGGATCTGAAATAGAAACAGTCATCACTCCGGACAGCAGGGAGGCCATTGCAAAAGGACTGGAATGAGTCGGGAGCTGGCAAGAGGGAAAGTGGGAAAGCCAAGTCTTCCGGGATAATGTGTAGGACTCTGGGAAGATTTGGAGCTGACCTCGTCCCATTCCAAGTGAATTATTTTGTTTTCGAGACAAGGTCTCCATGTGTACCTTTGATTGGCCTGGAACTTGGTATGTAGAGCACATTAGCCTTGAACTCATAGAGATCCATCTGCTTCTGCCTGCAGAATGCTGGGATCAAAGGTATGCACTAACACACTTGGCTCTAAATAAATCTTATATAAAACTAAAAAACAACAACAAAACCACATGCTAGCCGGGCGTAGTGTGGCACACCTTTAATCTTGCACTTGGGAGGCAGGTGGATCTCTAAGTTCAAAGCCAGCCTAGTCTACAAAGCAAGTCCACAACAACTAGGACTGTGTTACACAGAGAAACCCTGTTATGAAAAACAACAACAACAACAACAAACACATGCCTGGTGGCTGGAGAGATGGCTCAATGGTTACGAGCGCTAACTGGTCTTCCAGAGCACCTGGGTTGGTTTCCTAGCACCCACACATTGGCTCACAACTGTCTGTAGTGCCAATTTCAAGAGATCTGATGCTCTCTTATGGTCTCCGAGGGCATCAGGCACACATGGTGTACAGATATGCATGTAAGCAAAACACCCATACATATAAAATAATAAAAATTAAACACAAAAATCAAAACAGGAAAAATGAACTTGGTAGAGTGATGGAAAAGGAGCAGGATAAAGGAAGTGGTCCTCTGTGTGCAGTGCTGCCGAAAGGCCAGCTGGACACTGAGAACTGGCTGTGGACTGAACATCAAGGGACCCTCTGTGCAGCGTTGAGGAAGCAAATTGGGGTAGGTTCACGAATTAGGAATGGATGCCACCTGTGTTGGAGGCTGAAGCAGAGGCTGGCTTGAGCCACTGGAGTTTGAGGTCAGCCTGGACAATGTAGGGAGACCGTGTGTGACCAAAACCAGAAAAGAACGTTTAAGAAAGCAGTATATAGGAACCTTGGTGAAGGCCTGGTTGACTGTGTCCATATACAAATAGAACGGTTGCCAAAGCACTGCTGCTTTTCCTGTGGACCTGGACTTGGCTCCCAGCCCATATCACAGCAGCTCACAACCTCCTGTAACTCCAGCTCCAGGGGATCTGATGTCCTCCTCTGGCCTCCATGGGCGCTTGTGCACACATGGCACACATACACATGCATAAATAAAAATAAATACAAATTATGTTTCCTGTAAATTTGTGCTCCCAGTAGCACTTTTTTGGTTTTTTAAGACAGGGTTTGTAGGTGTAACAGCCCTGGCTGTCCTGAACCAAGCTGGCCCCAAACTCACAGAGATCCACTTGCCTCTGCCTCTCTAGTAATAGGATTAAAGAGATACACCATCACAGCCGGCTTCATTAACAGTCTTTTAGAGGGCACCCCAGACAACAACCTGATAATATTGATGACATGGTATTTCCCTGCCTATAGCCAGCCATAAGATAGCCCAGGATTCTGTAAAGTTCAGGTTTAAAGGGAAAAAATGCACACATCAGGTGGGGGACAGCTAGAGAGACAATGACTGCTCTGCCAGAGGACCCAGGTCAGTTCCCTGCACCCAGTTCAAGGAGTACTCTGGAATACTCTTTTGCTGACCTCTGCTGGCATGAGGCATGCATATAGTTTATACACACATGCAGGCAAACATGGATGCACATAAATAAATATAAAAAATAAAAAGTTTTTAACTTGTAGATTTTAAGACTTTTTTTAAGCCACTTTTTTTTTTTTTTAAAATCTCTATTTCATGTGCATTGCTGTTTTGCCTGCATGTATATCTGTGTGAGGGTATCAGATCCCCCGGAACTGGAGTTATAGACAGTTGTGAGCTGCCATGTGGGTGGGAATTGAACCCAGGTCCTCTGGAAGAACAGCCAGTGCTCTACCACTGAGCTATCTCTGCAGCCCCCTTAAAAGACTCTTAATGTGAACAATCCTCTTTCTTTCTAATCCCATTCGGTAATAAAAGCAGAGAAAATAAAACAGAGGTAAGTAGTGTCAATTCTGCAGATTTCTTGCTTTTCATATACTATGAGTTGTATTGTGTTCGGTAGCCGTGAGCATGGGCTAAGGGGAGGCCTCAGCCTGCTGCCCGCTCAGTACCCAGAGCAGGAGTTCTGAGCAGCCCACAGTCTTGAGGAGTGGCTGTATCTGTTGTATAACATGGGGCAAATTTCTCTGATTCTCTTGAGTTTGTTTGTTGTCTGTAAGCTAGAAGTGTTTGTAAAAATGTAGTGTGCTGTTGAACTTGTTTTATGTAAAGGGCATCTAAGTAATTCATGGACTTATTTCTATTAAATCACATTATAACAATATTATATGATAATACATGTTTGTTTCCGTTGGAGGCTGAGCAGAAAGCAGCAAGTTCCAAACCAGCCTTGTCCACAGAGTAAGTTCTAGGACAGCTGAGGCTGCACACAGAAGCCTTGTTTTGTTACAAAAAACCAAAAACACCCAACAGACCAAAAATAAACAAACAATGACAGAGGGAGGGAACAGAGTGGAGGAGGAGCAGCAGCCACCCCATCTCTCTTTTATTTTCTATGATTGTTTGCTTTATTTTGTTTTTCGAGACAGTGTTTCTCTGTCTAGTCCTGGCTCTCCTGGAAACTCTGTAGACCAGACTGGCCTCAAACTCAGAGTTCCACCTGCCTCTGACTCCTGAGTGCTGTAAAGGTGTGTGCCACCGTTACCTGGCATTCTATGGTTTTTATTTTATAGTTGGTGTATAAAACAGTGAATTTCATTACAGCATTTCTATACTTCTGTATCATTGTGCATTTCTCACGTTTGCTCCCTCACCGCACACCCCCCCCCCCCCCCCCCCCCCCCCCCCCCCCCCCCCCCCCCCCCCCCCCCCCGCTGCTTTCTTAGCTTATGTCTCTCAAGCCCTTCTTTACTTTACCATTTCCAACACAAGCCAACTGCTTTGGATTTTAATTGCAGCTCCTCCACCCCCTCTACCCACGGTCCGAAATGGTGCCAGGGATGCTCCTCCTCCCCCACCACCTTATCGAATGCATGGGTCAGAGCCTCCGAGCAGAGGAAAGCCCCCACCTCCACCCTCAAGGACGCCAGCTGGGCCACCCCCTCCTCCACCACCACCCCTGAGGAATGGCCATAGAGACTCCATCACCACTGTCCGTTCCTTCTTGGGTAAGTTGTCAGTGATTTGTTTGTTTGTTGTGTCAAGATAGGGTTTCACTGTGTAGGCCTGGCTGTCCTGGAACTCACTCTGTAGACCAGGCAGGCAGGCAGGCCTCAAACTCACAGAGATCCGCCTGCCTCTGCCTCCTAAAGGCTGGGTGGTGTTCGCCACCACCGCCTAGCTAATAGTGACTTTGTCTCATAGTTCTGGTGGTGACTTCACCGACTCACTGGTGCCAGATGGCTCCTGTAGATGGAGAATAGGCCAGAGCAGCAGTCTTGTTCGCAGCAGGTCCCTCCTGACTTTTCCTGACTTGTGCTTCCGATCCATTGACATTCTTTCCTTACATGACAGACTGAAATCAAGTCATCAGGGTTCATACTGATTCTAAAGCTACTCTCAGGTCCCCACAAGAGTCACTGATGAAGCTTCCCATCAGCGACTGTCCTCTTTATTCTCATACATCCTAGAATCATGTGTTCAAGGAGGGGAGTTCCTTCCTGGTTACTTAAAAACTCAAGAGGCTTAGGGTGAAGCTCAGTGGTACAGCATTAGCCTAATGTGTACAAGTCCTGGGCTTAATCCCACAGTACAGAAACAGCACGAAAAGCCAAACAAGCTTAGCTGACAGAGGCCCTTAGTTTCAACCCCAGCACTACAAAAACAAAACATACAGAGGCCAGTGACAAACCAGCTGTATTTTTTTTTTTTTTTTTTTTTTTGGTTTTTCGAGACAGGGTTTCTCTGTGGTTTTGGAGCCTGTCCTGGAACTAGCTCTTGTAGACCTGGGTGGTCTCAAACTCACAGAGATCTGCCTGCCTCTGCCTCCCGAGTGCTGGGATTAAAGGCGTGCGCCACCACGCCTTTTTTTGAGGACATCATTTTATTTATTTGGACCCCACTGTTATTATGTAGAGAAGCAGGAAATTGACTAGAACAGGCGCATATTGGATCATGTTTTCCAAGCTTATAAATGTTGAGATCTCTACTTAAGAGAATTCACCTCACAGTCTAGAATAGAGCCATAAGTTGTACTCTTTTGAAGATGTGTGGTGTAGACCATGATATCTCTTGAAAGCATTAACACGCTAAGTTCTTCAGGGTTGCTCCTCTATCACTACCCCTGACACAGTTGCACGAGAGTTTTGCTTTGAGCATACATCCTTATTGCAGAAACCTCTGAATGTAGTGGGGCACGGTGGTGTGTGTCTGTAGTCCCAGCACACAGGGTTTAAGCTGGTGCAGGAGAATCTTAAATTCAAAACCTGTCTGCAATACATAGTAAGACCCTATCTAAACAAAAAAAGCTTTGAATAGAAAAAGGACCTCTTGAGGTGTGATCTTGCCATGCCCATAAGACGTCAGACGTTTGAATCTTAGGAAGAGGTCATAGAGAGTAGGAGTGGAGCTAGACACGGCTGACTGAACCGTGTTGCAGAGCAATATAGGATAACCAAGGCTGAAAGAAAGATTTCTGTTAAAACTCGCTAGCTAGAGAGACATTTGAGGTTAATGACTACCACCCCTTAAATTTAATTCAGTTTGTTTCCCATAGCAGCAGTCTTGCAAGCCCACCTTGTTTCTGGAGCTTCTTGTTTCTGCTTGCACACACACTTGTGCTCCTTTCCCAAAGAGTCTGGATTTTGGTGGAAAGATGTAGAGTCAGCCTTTGACTCCTTTACATTTGGAATTTTAGAAGGGGAGGTACTGGTTCTGGTCGTGTGGCATTCACCTTGATCCTAGCACTTCGAAGGCAGAGTTGAGCAGATCTCTGTGTGTTTGAGACCATGCTGGTCTCATAGTTCCAGGTTAGCCAAGGCTACATAGTGAGACCCTGTCTCAAAATGAACAAAAATAATAATAGCTTGACAATGGTGGTACATGCCTTTAATCCCAGCACTTGGGAGGCAGAGACAGGTAGATTTTTGTGAGTTTGAAGCCAGCCTGGTCAACAGAGTTAGTTCCACGATAGCTAGGGCTATACAGAAAAACCCTGTATAATAATAATAATAATAACAACAACAACAACAATAATAATTTGTTTTAGTTTGGGTTTCTATTGCTGTGATGAAACACCATGACCAAAAAGCAGGTTGGGGAGGAAAGGGTTTATTTGGCTTACACTTTCATATTGCATCTCACCACTGAAGGAAGGCAAGACAGGACCAGGGCAGACACCTGGAGGCAGGAGCTGATGCAGAGGCCATGGAGAGGTGCTCCCCATGACTCGCTTAGCCTGCTTTCTTATAGAATCCAGGACCACAGTCCAGGGATAGCACCACCCACAATGGGCCAAGCCATTCCCCATCAATCACTAATTAAGAAAATTCCATATAGCCAGATTATATGGAGACATTTTTTCAATTGAGGATCCCTCCTTTCAGATAACTCTACCTTGTGTTAAGTTGAATAAAACTATCCAGCACATAAATAAAGGGGCTGGAGAGATAGCTCAGTAGTTAAGAATATTGGGTACATTTTCAGAGGACCCATGTTCAATTCCTAACACCAACATGGAGCCTCCATAACAGTCTGTAACTCCTGTTTCAGGAAATCTGAAGCCCTCCATTAGCGTCTGTGGGTGCTGTGTGCACATGGTGTCCAAACATACATGTAGACAAAACACACACAATTTAAAAGGATTAAATTTTTTTCTCTGTATGTGTATGTTCACATGTGCGCCTTTATGTGTTTATATGTATGTGTACAGGTGGTTATGGAAGCCAGAGGTCAACATTAGGTGTCTTCCTTAATTGCTCTCCACCATATTTGTCTTAGATAAGGTCTCTCACTATACCAGGAGCTCTGCAATTGGTCTGACTGGCTGGCCAGCAAGCCCCAGTGATACTCTGATTTCTGCCTCCACAGCTCTTGGTTATAGGCTCCTGCCACCATACCAGCCCCACATAAAGGGTCTTTGGGTGTCCACTGTTCATCAGAGGCACCCAGGGGATGCTTTTGTTGTCTCAGGCACTTTGGTTTGGTGGGTAGAGCAGCTCCATACAGCAGAACCCAGAGGAGATTGGTAAATAGGAAAGGTCCTAAGAAGTCCCATAAGAAGACATGACATAATACTCTCCTCTTTTCACAGATGATTTTGAGTCCAAGTACTCCTTCCACCCAGTAGAAGACTTCCCTGCTCCAGAAGAGTATAAGCATCTTCAGAGAGTATACCCCAGCAAAACAAACCGAGGTGCGAGGGGAGTGAGGAAAGCATCCGTGTTTGCATGCAACATAGAGTTTGTGTGTTTTCTGGGATTAGAAAGTGCTTCTGCACGTGTAGAGGTCAGCAGGAGTTGGCTTTTCTCCTTCCACCAAGTCCCCTGGATCCTGGGGACTAACTCGGGTCAGCAGCCTTGGCATCAAGTGCCCACCTTCCAAGCCATCTCTTCAGCAATAGTCCCTGTTGTTAAAAATTGACGTAGAGAGCCTGTCTCATTTCAGAAATGTTACATAGGTCTGTAAGTGAGCTCCGTGTCTATGATTCTTGTTTCTCCAGCTGCCCGTGGAGCCCCACCTCTGCCACCCATTCTCAGGTGAAGCCTGGCTTGGTCCTGCTCCTCAGGAAAAGGATGGACCTCCTCTTCTCAGATGGTCCCCCAACCCGTAAAACCTGCATGAGAGCTCCTACAGTGTTTCTCCAGTGCAACCAACCCTAAGCATCCTCCTGGCCCAGTTCCATCTATGCATCTCATCTCTGGACTTGGTGATTGGATTCTTTCTGTTGGCAGTAGGGTCTCAAGCCCTTTATCCAGCCCTCTTCCAGCAAGCCCTGCTAAGCCAGAAGAGGAGAAAGCCTCCATTTCTCCTGCTTTCTTCCAGGGAAAGGTGCCTTGTTAGGTGAATGGACACACACTGGGCAGGGTAGAGAACGGTACCCCTGCCTGCTGTTATTCACCAAGGGGAAGTGTGCTGTGTGCATTGTATTCCATAGTTGAGGAGGTTGGTGTGGCCAGGACTGTTGAGGAAAAGGTACTTTTCGTGAAGCAGTCAGGGGTTTGCAGAAGTGACCTGCTTTAAAGGTCAGGTTACAGAANGGGGGGGGGGGGGGGGGGGGGGGGGGGGGGGGGGGGGGGGGGGGGGGGGGGGGGGGGGGGGGGGGGGGGGGGGGGGGGAGTTTGCAGAAGTGACCTGTTTTAAAGGTCAGGTTACAGAAAGGACAAAGAAATGGATCTTCTTCATTTTTTTTAAAGAGTGTTTTGGTTTTGTTCTCATCCCTCCTCTCCCCATTCCAAGGGGTAAGTTGTACATACACTAAATACTAATCAGTGAACTAGACAATAAAAGAAGGGGACGAAGTAAACTGAGGATCATTCCAGAGCTCCTCTGCAGCTGAGGGCCAGGGCCATCTGTACCCCTCGGGACCCCCTGCCTTTCCCCCGAGGGCTTCCCGTCCCTCAAGAGAAGAGTCACTTTTTGTTGGGTGCATTGTTCATATTCACAAACCTCAGAAACTTCCTGTAAGAGATGAAAAGAGGGGGTGAGGACCTTAACCTCAACCTCAAGTCGATCTCAGTTTTTTTCTGATTAACCCTGAAATGGTCAGCAGCCCTCGGGGAATGCTCCAGGGAGACTAAGGGAAGGAGGAAGCACTTCACAGGAGGGTCTGGCTCTGGGGCTGCAAAGGTCTTGACAGCCTCCTCATACCCATCTCACATCCGACAGCAGGGTCCTCCTGTTATCTCTGCCGCGCTGCTTTCCCAAGACTGTGGGTGCTAAGCCCACAGAGTAGAAAAGGGCAAGGAAATACATGGGGCCTTTGGGGGTGGGGCATATCCCGAGTCTTCTAAACCAAGAAGCACAAAGACTTAAGGAGATATGCCACACTCCAGTCAGTGGGTCTTCCTTGGCAGCCAGCAATACATTGTTTCTGTCTTCCAGGTTGTAGGTAAACAGCACAGGAAAAATGGATGTTCCAACTGAGGTTGGTCTATTAGACAGTGAGTGTCTCTTCTCCAACAGCAGTGTGGGGCCCCAGGACTCCACACACTGGATAGGTTGGTTTCGTACAGTCATAGCCATGGACAAAGGCTGCTCCAACCTTGCATGACCATGGAGAAACCAGGTTGTCCTTTGACTCAAATAGGGGAAGCTAGTTAAAAACTTTCACATCCGTCACAGGGTTAAACTGTCACAGGGACCTTTCTTTTCTTTTCCTTATTATTATTATTTTTTCTTCTTCTTCTTCTTATTATTATTTTTCAAGACAGGGTTTCTCTGTGAAAGCACTGGCTGTCCTGGAACTCATTCTGTAGACCAGGCTGGCCTCGAACCCACAGAGATCCACCTGTCTCTGTCTCCCGGGTGCTGAGATTAATGTCATACACTATCACACCTGGCTCATAGGGACCTTTCTAATCTAATGGAACATAGGCTAAGGATCTGTGTTTAGTGCCAGGTGAAACCCAAATCTTCCAGTGTTGGTGAAGGTGGGCTTCACTTGGTTTATTTATTTATCGAGTGTTACCCTTTGCCATCTCCTGGACCACTTGGACTCTTGGGACAAGCAATGACTAGTTCTCACCAGACTTCTGATTTGTTCACTACTTATTCTTCTCACATGCATTAGCAGTCATCTCCAGGAGTATCCCCAGCATCCTCAAGTGAACAGAGCTCAGAGAGAAGAGCTGGTACTGCAGGAGTTCCAGGGTAGACGCTAGTTGCTGAACTTTGACTGTGAAGTCTTCCCATTTGTTTTTGAAATGGGAGTTGATGCCTTTTGTACAATGCTATCAGAGTGTATAGAGATGTCCCCTTACTGAAACATAAATCATCAGAATATATGATATAGCAAATAAAGCCAAACCCCAGCTTTTCACTGGGCTGATCCTTCCTGCACATGACCTGCGCTGTTCATATTCCCCAGATTTGGATGGTGTCATGTGGGTATTGATTACATTTCCATTGTCTTTGCTCGATGGACAACTACCAAAAAAAGGCCTGGGTTTAGATCTGAATAAATGGGTGTTCTCCTCTAGAGAATGTTGATGACACAGCACCTAATGTAAATGTCTTTGCCTTATATATCATTTGGTCCCGCTGTTAGTAACAGATTTATTATCAGTGTATGTTTGCTATTGAAGGTGGGAATGTGATCCTTAAAATTGTTGGTCTATTTTGTATGTTGTACAAAGCTTGTAATACAGGTTAAAGGTAGCAGGGCTGCAAGAGCACTGAAAATTTCCCTTCAGAACTGCTTTTTTATCTGCTCATGGGATGTCGTCTCTTCAGTGGGAGATTGGGTGGTCTCACGTTGAGGCTGTTGCCTGATCTTTTTAGTTCCTTTGTTCCCTCCCAAAGGGAAGAGACATTGCCCAGCTAAGCAGCAAGAAGCTTTGCCAACAGCTCTCCTGTGGGTTTTGTAGTGGTTTTCCCTAATAGGAAACAGTAGCTGTTTCTTACTGCCCTATCTGAAGCTGGACAGTGGCCTCTGATTTTCAAATGAGCTAGATGCCCCTCTTTCCCTGTCTCAAGTCACCAAACCTGGACCAAAGTACTAGGACATTCCAGGTGTAGCTTTCTCTCTCCTGAGGATTTGCTGCAGCTGCGGAGCCCTCCTGTTTTCACAGCCTTGGCCAATTGTGTGAGCAGCTAGGGCTGTCCTAGCTGGGGATGTCACCAGGAATTTGTCCCTGCCCCCTTTCCTGGCGAAGGCAAGGAAACTAGTCACTGGCATTGCACTAGGGGAATTAATTCCCTTACCTAGTGGCTTCCCAGCTTGAATTACCTCCAGGGAGAGGTGAGGAGGAAAAAATAACTGTAAATAGATTTGCTACAGAGCAACTCAGGGTTGGGGTATGTTGTAATTCTCCTGATCACTTGAATAATCTGTAGGCTGAGTGCTTATGGGAGTGTGGGAGAAACGTGACTCCAGGGTCCTTCGTTCTGTGAAGCTCTGGGGGTGGAGTGTCGGGCATCAGAGGTCCTTCGATAGCACTGTGCTGCGCTGTCTGTCCTTCTGCAAACCCAGACCAGAGTCTTCACATTCCAGGTGTAAGTTTTCTTTCCCTGTGACTCAGTCCCTAAGTTATGTGGTCAAGGTGACTCTGAGCCACCCAGATTTAACCCAGATTTAGGGAATGAGAGGGAAAAGAGGAGGCCATTATAATTCTGCCTTTAAGACTCATTTCTTGAAAATAAAATGATAACCACCTTCAAAATCATATGCAGAAACAAAAACAAAAAACCCAACAACCATTTAACTGAAGGAAGGGTTCTGTTCCACTCCACTCCACCACGTTCATTGTGCCTTTACTTGTGTTAGATTCTGTGCTTTCCCCCATCTATGAAGTAATTAAAATCCTCCTTGATAACTGCTGGTTCCTTTCCGCTCTTGATTTTTACAGCTTCGCGGGGTCCTTCTCTGATTGTCACGTCTTGTTCCCCCCCACCCCCGGGGCAGAGGGACTTAGCACACCCTCTTTTTTCATGTCTGACTTTTGTCCTTTCCCACAGTTTCCAGTCTGGAAGTTACGGTCAACACTAAATAAAAGACCAGAGTACGTGTGTATATATATATGTGTGTGTGTGTGTGTGTGTGTGTGTGCGCGCGTGTGCGTGCCCATCATCTGCATGTGGATCAGTTTCTTTAAAAAATATAATTTATTGTGTGATTTATTTTGGAGTTTTTATTCTGGTTTCAGTGCTTCTCCACAATAGCACTGATCTTTGCACCCCTTGTCCCCTGACAGAAAATGTATAATCTGGTTTCAGGTTGAATTCCTTGGTACATTTCTTTCTTCTGGATGCTGTGCAGTTTAATTAAATATTTAAAAAAACTAAACAAACAAAAAAGAAAACTGTGTATTTTTGTCATGAGTAATACACAAGGCAGTGTAACTCAAGAGTAATACTGATGGCAAGGAGAGGGGGGAAATCCTCTTCTGGGTAAGTGTGGCAGTTTGATTTCTGGTCCCCCCCCCCCCCCAGGAAGGACGTGTGCCAGTGCACATGGCAGAAGCACCTGCAGCTCCCAGAGGACTTTAAAAATCACCATTTGTGGCCTCACTGACCTGTGATTCTGTCTTGTATTTGCTGCTTACCTCCCGTTGCCTTGATCTCAAGGCGCCCCGAGGCTCACTGTCTTTGTGTTCCTTCCTTGTGACCCCTCAGATTCTGTTACCTGCGCCTGATTCTCTACTGGGTGGTGGTGGGTGGCCAGGGCCTTTGGGATCTTGAGAATCCATTTGTTCTTGAGTGTGTGGGTACAGCTGTCTATTTCTCTTCACTGCTTGATTACTTAGCTTTGGTTTTTTTTGTTTTTTTTTTTTTTTTGAGACAGGGTTTCTCTTGTGTGTAACCCTGGCTGTCCTGGAACTCACGCTATAGACCAGGCTGGTCTCGAACTAAGAGAGTGAGACTAGACTGTCTCTGCCTCCCGATTGCTGGGATTAAAGACGTGCCACCACCACCCAGCAAACATTTTCAGGTCTAGAAATAGTCATTTCTGAGTGTGTCTTTTTGTTGTTGTTGTTGTTTCAAGACAAGGTATCTCTGGAGCTCAATTTGTAGACCAGGCTGACCTTGAACTCACAGAGACCCACCTGCCTTTGCCCCCAGGAGGGCTGGCTTCAAAGTTGCTTAAGGTCCCATCTTCACTGTTTTTTAAGCTGAAATCTTAGCTGGTTTTCTTGAACTTTGATGTTAGGTGTTAAAACTCAGCCAGGCTTCTTTGTTACTGACAGGAAGAGAGTCCGCTGAGCTTGACTTGTACTCTCCCTGATTGCAGCGTTCCCTCCCCACTGACAGGAAATGCGGGTGGGTGTGTGGATCAAGCTCACAGAATCCAGATAGCATAACCTGTGGGGGCCCCAGAGTGCCTGAATTCCCGATTATTTGACCCATTCTTGTTATTAATATGGTTAATAAACTATTTATTGATTTTATTGTTCTTCCTAACTTAATAGTCTGCTTATGGAACTTGCTTAAATGACCCTCAGCTTCACTACCCTGTAAGTTCTCTCCCTGGGACAGAATTGCTGGTC